GAAATGTTAGTTTCTGCTAGATATATTAATAAAAGTTCTTCCAAATTCTTAGGCAGGGATTTCTTTTCCTCTCTTTTTTCTTCTTCTTATTTATTTTTTTTGCATATCTTAGATCCCACGTTCAACCCACAGGAACTTGGAAGAACCGACTGCTCATTTATGCTACATTCATATCAGAAGAGGTGGCAAAGTTCTTAGAACAGGAGCCATCTGATTAGAAAATTAAGCTGCTATAAATAAAACTGATCGAATGGCAATCAATGGATAATTATTTACTGGGGGATACTGATGAAAGATTTTGCTTTGGAACCTTGACATGCCATCACTGCTAAGTTAACTTCTGTGCATGTTGTAAATGCAAAAAATCAAGGGCTAGGTACGGAGGAACCAGAGATGCCACATGGGCCATCCATTTCTTCACAGTGTCTCGGAGATCTGAACTTTGTGGGTTTTTTTTTTTTTTTGTATTTTTTTTTTTTTTTTTTTAAACACCTAAAATTAGGTCATGGCACTGGATTTAAATTGCCAGTAGAGGTCTCCAGTCTGATGGAAGACATCTCTTCCCCACGAGTGCTTATTTTTTTATTTTTTAAATTTTTTTGGCGACTCATGTGGTAGACAGAAACCAAGTTTGTGATGTTTGAAAGATGGACACCTCCAGCCACTAGTAATCAAGTGTTTAAAAAATAAAGGAAACTAGTAAAAATTGGAAAGCTCAAATTTACATGATCGAAATGTTTACAAAATAAATCTACATAATGAGAGGTGACCAGCAAACCTCTGTACACATGCCAGAATGGGGTGGAAGAGAAGCCGCTCCCACCGAATTTTCTAAGTGTATGGAAGCCACTTAACCTCTCAGCAGACATGGCTCTTGCCAAAGAATATCACGGAAAGAAAAGAGTTTTTCTCTTCCATTATATTCTCACTATATCCTTTTCTTAGGTCACTGCCAACCAATAAAGCAAAGCTTCCATCAAGTTGACCAAAAAAAAAAAAAAAAAAGGGGGGGGGGCAGAGTTGGGGGAAAGAGAGGAGACAAGGGAGGACAGGAGCAGAAAAACAGGAACCCCTTTCTACTGGCCCAACACAGACAGACTTTCCAAATCACCGTATGTGGTTGTCACAATGACACACGTGGAGACGTCAGTACCCAGTGACGAGGGCGATAACACAAGGAAGGATCTTGGCATTCCACATTACTGAGACATGAAAGCATATTTCACTTCCTTGATTTCTGTTTATTTTCAATTTAGCCCACTGCCTGTGGGGCCTGTCCAGAACCACTCCGATTTCCTTAATGGGCAAGTGTCTTAATGTCTTCGGAGTGACTGGACCACATGCACATACACACGCGTTCCCCCTGCTTAGGATGTCTGGGTGTATGTACGAAGGCACTAAAGCGGCTTTAGAGAAATTGCAGGCAGCAACCCCACCCACTCCCTTTACCTGTCAAGCTGGAGTTTCTTTCCCACTGGGAAGCTTAGATGTTTAAAAGCAGCTGTGGTCATGCTTGGGAATTCTGACCCCCGGCCCCAGGAGGGAATACAAAAGGAGAATTCAACGTCATGAAAAATCGAAAGGAAATACTCCACATCTCCAGCCGAGGGATGGGGATAATTAAGCAGCAGATCTTCAAAACAGCAATTAAAATGAGCACAACAGTAGCTGGGAGCTAAAAAAGTAAAATCACTTGTTCCTTATTAGATTCTTCTTTTCTCCTCCTCCCATAACAAACGGAGGTAAGACAGACATTCTTTGTTAATAGAACAGTCCATAGATATTTTCCTCTAGTAATGCCTATATTTAAAATTTGTTCCAAAAATTATTAACCTATATTTCCTAGCTCTTTACATAGATTCTCAGCAATCCAACCGTACTATTTTACAGATTAGAGTTTACTTTTTTTTTTTCCCCCTAAGTTGTTGTTTCTTTCTTTCTTTCTTTTGTCCTGGGGTTTGAGGGGCAGGGAGAAGGGTTCCCTTAAAAAAAAACAAAACAAAAACAATCATTAGGGGAGATGTCAGTTCAATCTTAAATGGAAAGGAACAGAGTGATGACGTTCCCATTTATAAAAACCAAACGCTCCCACTAAATGACACACAATTTCAAACGAATCCATGATAAAGCTCTTAGAAAGCTAATCCTTCTCCCGTGTTTTTAAAGATAACGAATTGACCTGTTGCTGCTAAATTGATCATTTTTAAAAAATATTTCTTTCTATGTGTTTTAAAATGTGTGATCCCCAGTATGATAATAATGTTTGGAGACTTTACATTTTTTTTTTTTTTAAGTAAAAATTGTTTCAACTTTTTGAAGTTTCAGGAACTTGTAAAAGTTTATGAACAGGAAAGAAACAGCCGTCTATCTAGGATAAGATACGGTTAAATAAACCATCTTCAAAAAACTGGCTTCCTACCCTAGAATTCCTGAGAATGCTTGCAAATTTTAAAGCAGGAAAATAAATGTTAAAAACAAAAACAAAAAACACTGTTAAATGCTCCCAGAGTTAGTCTTCATCTAAAATATATATTTATATGTATATATATATGCACTTTTTGGTCTTTTTTTTTTTTAAGTTTTTAATTTTTTCCCTTTAAGCTTAAGATGGAAGAACATTTGAGCTTCTCATGTTTATTTTTACATATTTCAAATCCCTCATTATATGTCTTGTAAACAAGAGGGGCTCTAGCACCCGGCTTTCACCGTAGTATCGTAAGGAACTCAACTAACCCATAGTGCAGGCCAAGGAACCAGCAGGCAGGAGGAGGGGTGGGGGCAGGACACGACAGGGAATCACGGCAGTGGACAGGGCTGTCACGGGCTCGTGGGAGCCTCGGGACACGCTCCTGGCCCAGGGCCACTAAGATTTTGCCTTCTGTAGATGGCTGAACACAGCTGCTCTCCACCTGGACGTCACCACACACCACAGGGTTTTGCTCCTCACACAGAGAGCAGGCAGAGGGGACCAGAAGGAGACATTTTTGTACATGGGCAGAGATGGAAGGGGCATGGTGGTGGTGATGAAAACCGGAGAGCAGGAAGAGGGCACAGTTAGTTTTCTACAAGACATTCAATGGGACTGAACCAACGCTGGAGACTCAAGTTTGACCACCTCCCCACAAAGGGTGCATAAAGACTTCCAAGAGCGAATGCTTACTTGAATTACACATGTCAATCTCTTTTGAGGCTAGGTTTATAATCAACAGGGTAAGCCAGAGGACTACAGAATTCCCACTCTTTGTCTCATAAAACCACTTGATGCAAATAATTCGTTTTTGCCTTTTCCTATACACACCCACCCACCCACCTACACACAGACACAAGCTAAAAGTCAAATACATTAGGCATTGTTGTATCCTTCACTGAAGATGCTAAAGAAAGAAAAACTCCCTTGTCCTCACTAGCAGCAAGTTATGGAGGACAGTAGAGGTCTGCTCCCACCAAGGGTTGGAATGGGCAGGTATTTGCTGGTACAGAATGTCGGCACTTTATGTTAAACAGTATAATGCAGACTGGGATGTCCACACAAGTGCTAGCACATTACCGGCATACGTTCCCCTCCCTCCCCACCACCCCCCGCCCCGCCAGCCATCTGCTTTGTATAAAGGGTTACCCCTTCAGGTCTGCTAGAACTCTTCACAAAAAGCAGTTTGATACATGTTGATTCCAACATAAGTACATACATGTTGGTGATAACTGTGGATTAAAAGTTGCCCCCTATTCGGCCCAGAGTACTACTACATTGATGCTTAAAAAAAAAAAAAAAAAAAAAAAAAGTCTTTAAATACCAAAATAAAAAAGCAACATTACAAGGAAAAAAAAAATAAAGAGGTCAAAACCAAAAAAAGGTGCAATACTTAAAAGTCTTTGCTAAGTTATACCTGCCTAAGCAAAACCACATACACAGGAAATACACAACACAGAGAAACAAAAGGAAACGCTTGAAGTACACACTGGTTTAAGAACATTCGTTAAGTAAACGTTTCTGTCAGTGATGGCCTGGTGCTGTAGCGCGCCGCGGCCTGGCACAGGTAACGCTCGGCGAGAGAGGAGCAGAGAGGGAGAAGCTGCAGCTGCTCACGAGTTACTTGTTTCGTTTTCACACAATGAAAAAGAGAACCAGTTCAGCATTACCTGACTTTCTGATGAATTCCTCATACCTGATTACAACAAGAAAGGGGGAACGTGGTTTTTCTGCTTTTGAGACACCACAGAAGTAAAAACTCTCTCATCGTCTGTTCCCGTTCAAACTAATGAAAAGAAAAGGCCTGCGTGAAACTTAACAGATATCCCGATGTGCCTGGTGGCCACTTACTTTAAAAAACAGAAATAAATAAAACACACGGTTGCTCCAAGAGGTACCTCCTGCTCTCCTACTTTTTTGGGACTTGGCAGTGCTCCGCTCTACTGCTAGGTCGAAAGAAAAGCAAGAGAAAACTCGCTCAGGCTAATTTGCAAATGTAAAGGAGCTCCCTGCTTTAATCATTAAAAAGCACTCGGTTCATCTTAATGCAGCCCAACGGAGTTGCTTTAAGTAAGCAGTGGCTCCCGGTGCTTGTGTGTTCTCATAGTTAAAAAAAATAAAAATTAAAAAAAAAAAAATAAAAAGCAGATGGCCGGCCAGCCAGCCTGCAGACTGTTAGCAACGCAGCGTTCGGAGAGATCGGGTGGGGCAGGGGGAGGAGGACACGGGCACACGCACACACAGAGACAGAGAGAAGGATGCACGCAAATGCACATGAACACACGTGCACACACATACCAGAACGAGCATGCCTGGGCAGTTACATGTGCCAGAACACACTGGTATTTATCAACCAGCCAATCACAAATTTTTTCCTTTTTTTTTTTTTTTTTTTTTTAGGTTTTTTGTGTTTTTGTTTTTAAAGTGAGGCTCCGTCAAGTCTTGCCCCCCCCCCCCCCACAAATGTTTTGAATTCCCCTCCCTCCCAAACGTGGTAGACCTAAGGACGGAAACACACCCAGTGCAAACAAAGTTAAAAAGCTATTTTTTTTCAGTATATATGTTTCTTAGCAACAACTTCCATATAACATGAAAAAAGTGAAAAACTAGAAACTAATTTTTTTAATTTTTTTGTGTTTAAATTTAAATGGTATGTGTACTTGCTTCACATTGTCTTTCTAGGTTGGCGTTCATGATTCAAGTATTTCAAGAGTGATATGTTCTCTTTTTGGATTCATATTCCAAACGAAAAAACTGAAGTTATAAGGGAGGCAACTATGTGCTCAGACAGTCTGTCAATGACCCACCTTTTTTTTTTCTCTCTCCGTTTTCTTTTTTCCTTTTAAAAATGTATTTATTGCAAGTTGAAAAAAAAAACGAAAAGGTCAAGTTAGTGCTGCTGCTGTTCCAAAAAAGGTCACGAGGTCAGAGTTGAAAGTTTTAAGTTCAGATTGAATCCGACCCTCCTCCCAGAAGGTCACCAGGTAGTAAGGGAGCAGGGCTGCCCATCCTATGGGGATCTTCCACAGTTGGGACTCCCCACAAGCTAGAAGAATAGTTTGGGGGCCCCCACAACGAAGCGCCAGCAAGATCGGCCCCGCTGCTGCCGCCAGCACTGCTGCTCCACTGCCCGAGCCCTGTGGACCCACCGAAAAGATTCAAAGCAGGTCCGACGGGATCTGACTGGGTCTGGCCGGTCTCCAGCGACTGCCAACCTGCGGCGGGTGCACTTGGGGTTGCTGCAGGTGTAGGGGGCTGAGCTTGTGCCAGAAAGCGGCTGACTTCATCATCGGTGGCAAACTCAGCCAGGATGGTAGTGTTTCCCAACACACACCTAGAAGAAAGGGGAGGGAAAGAGCTATGGATTTGAGGGAAATCCTAAAGCACCCGCACGGACTGAGGGTTTCGAGTCCCAGAGTCCTTGATGTTCAAAGTATGCTCCTTTGACCAGCAGCTTCCACATCCCCTGGAAGCTTTCTAAAATGCAGAATCACAGGCCCCACCCCACGCCTACGGGATCAAAACCTGCATTTTAACCAGGCCAGGTGATTGAGAAATACTGTACTAAAGCAGTAAGGGATCACTAAATCTCAAGACCTCCAAAGACTACTAGGGGGTACCACGTACCGCTATCCTTTTGGAATTTGTATGTTGAGAAAAATGTCATCTTTCTTTTCCCCATGGGCGGTAAAAGGTCACACTGCAAACATCAAGGTGACTCAACCTCACACATCTGGAAGTGCCACTGCTCTGCCTCTGGGCCGGGCTCACCGCCTGAGAGTCACCACTGCTTGCTCGTTCTGTCTGTAGCTTTCTGCCGGGGCCTGTAGCCCCGGAAGAGTCAGCTCTTCCCTGGCTACCAGTTTGACGGCAGCTGGGAGGGGGGACAGTCAAAGTGTGATCCAGTCCCACCTACGTAAGACAAAAACCTCTGCTACCCGCCAAGCCACGGCGTTTCAGCTTCACCAACAAAGAAGACAAAGTAAGCAACCAGATTCTATTACAAAAAGTGACGGCACCTACAATGTTTCACATTCTCCTGAACACTGGGGCTTTGTTTTATGCTATTAAAATTTACTCACTGCTTCATGACTTCATAAATTCTTTACTTTTGGAATTCTGATTACGGGCCTACACAGATATACAGGGCAATCCACGCCTGGGGAGGTAGAAAAGATCCATCCCCTCCGTACCAAGCAATTGCTTATGCCAGGATGCTGTTTTTGTGCATGTTCTCGTGGATCTTTGCTTTATTAAACAGGTGCCAGAATACTCACGTGTGCATCTTCGTGCGTGTTTGTCTCAGTGAGCGTAGGATGGGTACTCACATGTGCAGTGCAGTCTGGGCCTTGGCTGCCTCCTGTTTGGTGCTGTATCGGATCAGGGCAGTGCCCTGGGTTAGGTTCAGATGGAATGTCAGCAGTGGGCCATGCTGCATGCAGATGGTTCTCAACGTTGACCCATCAATCTAAGGAGTAATGATATTTATGAGTTAAAAACGAGGTAGGGTGTGAACAGAAGTCGAATGGCCTTTCTTGTATATGAGGAGGAGAAGGGCTTCTGGTTTGTAAATCATGATATCGGCACTAAGTCTTGGACAAAGGAAGGAAGGACTCAAAGCAGGAAAGAGTGCACTCAATAGAGGTCTTAAAGGCAAATTCAAAGTTAAGTTAATTCAAAGCACAGGCTGAGATCTAATGTGCCCATACTACAAAAAAAAAGTTTGCAAAAACACAGCTCAAGACAAATCCTATGATTCGACCTGTAGTCTGTTTTTAAGAGGTAAACACATGAATGTGTGTTGACTTGTGAGAGCCTTTAGAAAGCAGAAACAGGATGGCGTCCGAACAGGAACTTAAGACAAGTTCTCGACCTCATTAGTAACGTCGTATTTGAACTATTCTCCACTCCCCTGGTTAATAATCTCAGAGAACTAAAGGAGGACACAAGAAAAGCACTGTTAACCTCCTTGACGGTTTAGTGGTTTTTAAATTTTTTTTTAAATTTATTTATTTTGAGAGAGAGAGAGAGAGAGAGAGAGACAGAGAGTGGGAGAGGGGCAGAGAGGGAGAGAGGGAGAGAGAGAGAATCCCAAGCAGGCCCCATGCTGTTAGCACGGAGTCCAACGTGGGACTCGAACCCACACACCATGAGATCATGACCTGAGTTGGAGTCGGACACTTAACCGACTGAGTCACCCAGGCGTCCCCATACCCTGATGAGAATGCTGCTGGCTGACCTAGCTCACAGACAACACCGGTGTCCTTGGACTCCCACGCTGCCCATCTCAGGACGAGCCTTTGTGCCTGCTTCTCTGTGAACCCTGCCACCCTCAGCCTCATGTTGGCCAGACTCTCAAGATGTTCACCGTTTACAGACAGTTTCTCTCACTCCGGACTCGGATGAACAGATGCACTTATTCACTCTGGTGAATTTATTTGTATTGAGATCTTAACTAGGTTTAGACAGGTTGCTCAGTCCAACATTCAGTTCATTTCTTTGGAAGGGAAACAGATTACTATCAGAACAGCCTCAGAAACTGTGCTACCGGCGGTGGCAGTGGAAACATTGTGTGGTTTCACCATGGAAACCCTGCAGGATGGAAACCAGCAGCATCACCACAGTTCTTTACAGAAAATGGAGATCAACTCTACGAGCGTGTCCGTGTGGGCCACAAGTGACCTTTCAGGACAGATGCCCTCTAAACAGATTTTAGGTGATGAAAAGTACATTTATCCAGGTTCCAAAGATTTGCCCTTATAACCGTCTTCTAAGCTACCATTGGGATTAGTCTATTAGGTACTTGAGTTTTAAAATTCATCAGTTCTTTCTTATATGAGCACAGTTAACCCCTAGATTCACATTATGTATATACACACATGAACTTACTATTTTTCATAGCATAAAACAGAAGCGAACAGCAGGCTAGCTTGTCCAAGTTCCTTTCAACACAGCGTAGACTTTACGGCCTCTCTCGTCCTCACCATACACCCACCACACTGTGTGACAACTTTAGAATGTTGTCATGTTCTAATGAGGCATATACCGATTTGAGTATGGTCGTATAAAATCTTCATGCTTCAGTTGACTCGTAGCTAATAATCCAACTGGGGCTTTAAGCTGAGTAAGAGCCAACCCAGACTCTTCTTCATGTTAACTGTATTTCTGAAACTGCCTTTCTCAACATGTACCCTAAATACAAACCCTGGACTCACTCCCCACAAACAGGTTCCACAAACAGGTTCACTGGGCAGGTAAATTTAGGAGAAGCTGTATTTCTCCACAGAGGATAATACATGTTAGCATATTAAAGAGTCTAATAAGTCTCACAGTGAAGAAACCCGCTTAATTTTGTTTAATCAAGTACATGTTCCAAACATATTAGGCCAGAGACCTATTAATATCCCATGGGAACACTCTAGAAAATGCTAGCTAGCTTACTAAAGTGCGCATGAATCCAGTTATGAATTAAATGCCAGACAATTTGTTCTATGTGTCAAAGGAAGGGAGGCATAATTGACTCCTTTTAACAAGGTGCTGTAAAGGTTGTGCTGTCAAGTCCAAATGAAGGTCACAGGCTCAGTTTCAATGGGTTCACTTAATCTCATTTGCGTGTTCAACATAATACTGCCGCAAGTATGTCAGTTATCAAGTAAACAAGGTGACAGAGTGGCTTGGGGCAAATGAAACCCATCACTGTAAAAACAACCCAGAGGGCATGTTCTGAAGAGAGCAAATTAGTAATTCCATCTACAAAGAAGAGAGTAACAGATGGAAAATTGAAAGCACCCATGTGGCATTTAAGCTATGAAACTGACAGATTTCTTCTACTGCAGAGATGGATGGTTAATTATTTATGAAGCATAAAAATGTTTGATATTGAGCCCCAAGCCTTGTTGGGCCAACAATCCCCACTCAGGAGTAGGCTTCGAGCCTCGGGTGGGGAGGCCCACCCCTGCACGCTGGACCTCTGAGTAGCAAGCAGGAAATTAATGAGCTTTGTTATTATCTGGCAACATTTCACACCTGAGTTTCCCTTTCTTAACACAATCAAATCCCGTCTCGAAAATCACAAGGAAGCATGGTTACCTGTGGAGTGAGATTGTGAAGAACCAGCCAGTAACTGGGACGAACTGAACCACCATCACTCCAAGTAGAGGCTGTAAGTAACCAGAAGAAAAAATTAGGAAGAGCAGTAAAAAAAATTCAGAAATCCATGAGTGAGAAAACGTTTTCACATAGGCCCCGTGTGTCTTCTCCCCTTTTATAAACGGTCTTCTATTTTACACGTCCCTCTAACCGCATTCATCCTGTCCCTTAATGGTCAGTTTCTCTTCCCCTAGACCTTGTAACCCTGTGCACTCTCACACCTCATTTGTAAGGCCACATTTCCCTCCTAATGTTCTCACGCTGCTGTGTGTCGTTTTTACTTCATCTGTCCCTTGCGAGTTCTTGGCTACCTCTGCCCTAGACCGAACTGCAACTTTCCACTCCAGAGATACTCTTTCCTCTACCAGACAACTGTGATTTCCTCTCTCGTGAAGACTTCATGTCTTTTTTGGTGTTAACATAAGCCCCTTGTGTTTAAACAATGATGCTCCTTTAGGCGAGTCCTTGTCACCTGAGGCAAGCCGTGAGTCCTGTGTCCCCCAACCCCTGACCGATCGGGGTGCTGTGCTGCTCCAGGGAGATGATGGTTTGGGGTTGGTCAGACCAGGAGGTGGGCGGGGCAGCGGTGTAGTGTTTCTTGAGGAAATATGGTTTTTCCACATCTTGTTGGAGAGATGAGTGGGGTTGTGTCCTATGGGATCTGGGGACCATGTTGATTTGTAATCAGGGAACTTTGCTATAAAGAAGACAAAATTAAGGAAGGAGTAAGGTTAAATAGATCACTTTTGTGAATCTACATAAATTTTGTGTATACATATAAATAGTATTCTAAAAATAGTAAGTACACATCTTGAGACTAGCAATACAAAATAACACTAAATATAAAATTTTCAATGACTATTACTCTGAATCAACAACACATGAACTGAAGATTTAATGATAACTAATTCTCTACTACTTTCTTAGCCAAACAAGCCTGAAAGGGAAGATTCATTCAAGGGAAGTTTTCTTAAAACCATTAGTCTTACGTAAAGATATAGTGGAATGTGAACCTTAGCAAAACTATTCTATAAATACTCACTGGCTGAATGGGAAGTACATTAGAAACTTCTAATTTTCTTGATTGTGATTAAGCTATCAATATTCAGATTTTTTTTTAAAATTTTTTATTTTTAAGTAATGTCTACACCAAACATGATGCTTAAACTTACAACCCTGAGATCAAGAGTCACATGTTCTACTGTCTGAGCCAGCCAGGTGTCCCAATATTCAAACAGATTTTGAAAAAAAAAAAAAAAAAAAAATCAACAAATATTTGCTAAGGGCTTATTATATTTTATTTTTATTTTTTTATTTTTTTCAACTTTTTATTTATTTATTTTTGGGACAGAGAGAGACAGAGCATGAACGGGGGAGGGGGAGAGAGAGAGGGAGACACAGAATCGGAAACAGGCTCCAGGCTCCGAGCCATCAGCCCAGAGCCTGACGCGGGGCTTGAACTCACGGACCGCGAGATCGTGACCTGGCTGAAGTCGGACGCTTAACCGACTGCGCCACCCAGGCGCCCCAGGGCTTATTATATTTTAAATCAGTGCTGTGGGTAATATAAAGTTATTCTTAAGAACTTCAAATTCACATGAGAAGACAGAACAGGTGAATAACACAATTGGTAGCTGGAGGTATCATCACATATGTTCAATACACAGAGGAGAAAACACTGTTATGTCATCATCAAAGGCATGGCAAAGACAGGTCTGGAAGGATTTTACGAACGGATTGGGCTTGGAGTGCTTGGGTGGCTTAGTTGGTTAAATGTCCAGCTTTTGATTTCAGCTCAGGTCATGATCTCATGGTTTGTGGGACTGAGCCCTGTGACAGACTTTCTGCTGACAGCACGGATCCTGCTTGGGATTCTCTCTCTCCCTCCTTCTCTTACTCTCTGCCCCTTCCCTGCTTGTGCTCTCAATCTCACTCTAAAAAATAAACATTTAAAAACAAACAAACAAACAAAAAAATGGACGGGCTCAGAGAGACAGGAGAATATAGACGAATATCCCCTTTAAACTCTATCTGTACCAAATGTATTTTTCTTCAGTTTTGGCTGAACACCATTTCACAGGGCCAGAGAGGTACAGAAGGCCAGAAAGGCAGGGTGAAGGCTGATGAGGATGCTACCAGGAGTTCTTGCACTAGATTTGGTACATAGTATTTAAACCTGGGTCTCAGCCTGGGTGACAGCAAGTAGGATGGAGAATGGATAGGAGATATGGCTGCAGAATACACTCCCTGGGAGACACCCTCACCACTTGGGACTCAGGCAGCAAGTGAGAAAAATCAGGAGACTTTGTGACCCACTGATGCTGGAAGCGTCATTAAAACAAAGACAAAAACTTAGCTAAGGAGGAAAGACAATGTAGGGGAGGGGCAGAGATATACATTCAGTTTAGACAAGTCTGGGGTGACTCTTGGATCATCTCTCAGATGAACGTCCAACTGTAGACAAAAGATTTTTATCCGGTTCAACCGGAGATACGGGCAGTTACTGGAATAAAAGAGTTGAGTGAAAAAATCAGTTTTTACGTGTAAAGGAAAAAGTCCCCAAAAGAATAATGTAGGGTAGTGGTTAGAAACATGGATTTTTGAGTTGGCTCCTTTACATATGCACTCAGACCTGAGGCAAATTACATCAGCTCTTTGTTGTCGTCGACGTCGTTGTTATTGTTGTTTTGAGAGAGTGAGAGAGCATGTGCAAACAGGGTAAGGGGGCGAAGAGACAATCCCAAGCAGGCTCCACGTTGTCAGCACAGAGCCAGACACGGGGCTCGATCCCACAAACCGTGAGATCATGAACTGAGAGGAAACCAAGAGTCGGATGCTTTATTATATCCATTAAGATACAAAAATTAGATGGTTTTACTATATCCATTAAGTTTTCATTCCCTATCGTCTTAGAAAAAAAAAAATATATAAGGAACTCAACAAATGTTGGTAGAATTAATTAAGGGCCTCTTTTTTATTTTGCCTTTGGCCATCTGCCTGTAGCCTTTGTCTATAAGTGGAAGGAATTTTTTTTTTTTTTAAGGAAAGCAAACTAGAACTGGTTGCCTTAGGAACAACTTGGTAAACGTCCCTGGTTCTCCTCATGGCCCATGAATCCTTTGGCAAACTGGTTAAAGAAAAACGCTTGTGGCACAAAGATCTGACCCCTCTCCTCTCAATGCTCACAAGCTCCTTGCAATGATGTCACCATCTGCCTTGTCCTAAAGCTACATGTCTCATCCTGTCTCTGTGTGACCGGAAGCTCCTTGAGAACATGGCCAGTACAAGAGGTGTGCTTCCATTTATGCTGCCCTTGCTATTCAACTTCCATTGTATTCCGTAAGAAATAAATGCCCATTTCTTTTATAAAAGGGAACCTTGTGGAAAAGTGCAAGCCAAAGGGAAACGAACAGGTCATACTTGTACCTGAAGTGCTATGAACGTTGGTAAAGGAGTTGTCAGAGGCACTGTAGGGCCAGGCACCAGGTGAAGGCAGCGAGGTGTTGAGGGAAGAATTAGACCCTTTTGGGGACACAGGAGGAACAAGATGGAAATCTTGAGACAGATGTCAGTATAACCAGTGCAACCTTAGGTATTTTATTTACCCTTCCATGGAAGATTAAAATATATCTTAAACAAACAAACTGAAAAGCTACATATTTTTATGTTTTTTGGTTAAATTATAGATTAGCAGGTGCCAATGAAGCCACAGATTGACAAATATGAAATGCCGGGTTTTGAATGAACACCGAGGATACCTCGCTCATTTACCTGTGGTGTTATCCCGCAGAAGTTGGTGGTCAGTATCTACAATGGGAGATGTGGCTGTACCCCCCAGCACACTTCCTGGGGTGACATAGGGGTCAGATTCAGGGTCAATGTTTTGGATACCTTTCCATGGCACTCCTGGTTGGAATTCTGAAACAAGGAGAACCAATATTAGAGGTAGGAGGATGTTCAAAAAAAATGTTAAAATCAAGTTAGTTTTTGATACAAGAAATAGATCTGTGAAAGAATACTGAATCTATTTTATTGCAAACATTTATCGTAAAATTAAAAATCACACTGTCAACCCCAACATATACTGTGCTAGCAGCACTTCTGTGTTACCAAGCTTGTCGACCTTCTCGGTGTCTTTGGGGCTGTGAGCCAGAGCTCATTAGTGCCTAGCCTGGTCACTTCTCTTCCTACTTCCAGGGCAGTTCGGCCCGAGAGCAGTGAAACCGGGAGTAAGTAACCTGGTGCTGATGAGAACTGTCCAGGTATCTAGGACACAAACCGGGAGAAAATCTGCGTTGGAAGTAAGTGACTTCTCCCATTTATCTCACCGGAAATTGGCTCAGATGAACAAACGAAAATACACTATAAATGACCATGACCTCGTGGAACATCCAGGGAGAAAGAGCAGGAATAATTTGGCTTATAGTGAGAAAGCCCAGAATATGTATAAGTGTTTATAATTATTTTTATTAATATTTTTAATGTTTATTTATTTTTGAGAGAGAGAGAGAGAGAGAGAGAGAGAGAGAGAAAGAGACTGACTGACCAAGCATGAGCAGGGGAGGGGAAAGAAAGAGGGAGACACAGAATCCAAAGCAGGCTCCAGGTTCTGAGCTGTCAGCACAGAGCCCGATGTGGGGCTCGAACCCACAAACTGCAAGATCATGACCTGAGCCGAAGTCGGACGCTTAACTGACTGAGCCACCCAGGCGCTCCTATAATTTTTTTTTATTGGTTAATTTAAATCATATTTAAAGTTGTTGGATGGGATTAACAAACTTTTGTTTTCCCAATCATGACGGAGAGCACTATATAGAATATACAAACAATATGCATTATATGAGCCTTCTTTGGTGGAATGGAACTGCACATATTCATACCACAAATATTCCAGTACAGAAAGAGATTTAGATAGACATATACCAATTTTTAATTTTTGATTTACCAAATTAAAATTTTTTCTACAATGAAAACAGATTACTTAAATTAAGATAAAAACAGAGGGGAAAAAGTAACAAAATAGTCTCATTGTATCACTGCTGCATATCTGGAACCTAACTGATGATAAATACTTGCTTAATGAATAAACGGGTCAATTAAATGGACATTTCAGAAGAACCCATGTTATGAGGCATCCTGTGCATGGATGAATCCCAAGTCTAGCTCCAGCATCACCTTCTTTGATCCCAGATTCCACTCCTCTGACTTCTTTCAGCTTATCTATATCTGTACAATATTTAGCACAGTTACTTGCGTTACAGGTGACCAGTGTCCACACCTTATCTTCCTGACTGAACTCTATGGAGCAGAGACCTCATCTAATGTGAATTTACTATCTTCCCACAACATAGCACATACCTTCCTTTTATCAGACAATAATTACTGAATGAAAAAATAAAGTAAGTGCCTGAGTAACTGGCAAAAGCAATCTGTTCAGAGCCTGAAATTAAGAATTGAAGACAAACGATACACAGAAAAAACATTTCCTGGACAATACCTGGAGGCCAACTGGCATTGCTGGATTTACTTCCGATTTTATTTGTTGGTGGAGATTTGGCAGGTAACCAGCTATCACCAGCAGGACCCGTATGGCCACCCAGTGTGTCACTCGGGATGATATCAAACTGGTTGTATGGTGACCCTCCTCGAGTCTTACCAGGGGCCACTATAGCGCCTGAGGAGAGAGAGGAAATTGATTCACACCCAGCAAAAACAGTATTCTGACTATGCAGTTAAAAAAAAGTTCTGCAACAAGAGGTTGCCCTGGAGAGCCAGTATATAATCCATAAGTAGGATGGCTAGGAACAGTTCATTTCACCTTTCTGAGCTTCTCGGGTTCTCATTAAAGCACACTTATTCTTCAATTTTCCTTTCAGTTTTAAAATTCCATGGGCTTAAGAAATTAACGAAACTCTGACCACCTACAAATCATACCATTATCCCCAGTTTCTATACTGATGACTCAAGAATCAGAAATAGGAAAAACACTACACAAGCTGCAGTGCATAAGAAGCGTTTTCACTACACTTGTCCTGACACCATTCACCCAAGTTCTTTGGAGCTGGTCAGACCTAGGTTAGCTAGAAGAAGCCGTGTAAATGGAGGGAGTTCACTGGAGAGAAAAGCGTATGCGCTTGCTTTGAATTCCAAAGCAATGAGATGGAACACCCGCCCAGGGTCTCTGCCAGCACAAGGTCAGCAGGGGACTCTGCAGCTCGGACACCCACGGCCCCACACACTAAGAACAGCCGATCCTTTGTAGCTGCTTTCTTGAGAGCATTTCAGCAGTTCTGTCTGTGCCCTTTTTATGCATCTTATATGCTATGAGGCAGGAAAAAAACCTTAAAAGCTTCAAATTCCCTTAACCTAACAAAAAATGAGCTTCACTTTAAATAAAATTCTTGGCCACCCTATTTATTTCTCAAATGCATTTCACATGCTGCACCATGTCACTTGATCTACCCTTAGGATGCTGTTTATAAACAGATACAATTATTTCCAGGATGATGTATTAACGTATTTGTATAAATATTGACTAAAATAATCTGCTTGGTTTGGCCTGGCAGGAGTATTATCAAAACCACCTTCCAAGCTCAGCAAAGAAGTCATTTGCTTTTCTGGAGCCACTGACAGAAATCTGACTCAAGGGCACATTACAGTGAATAGTAGAAAATGAAGAGCTCGATTACCTTGGGGATTGCTAAGGAAATGGGGAAAACATTATCTATAAGCTCTGAAAAGGCAGGTGGATATTTTAGCTTCAAGATATCCTCTCACATGGCACTTGTATTTATTATCATGCACCTATCATGTCTTTGGGGACAAAGGCACCTGATGAATCATCAGCCTAAGGAAGCAGGGTAAGTCCCCAAAGCTGCAGATGCTGGGTTTGAATTATTCAGTCTAGAGACAGATTTTATAGTTTCAATAAATCATTCTTGGTTTCATGGCATGAAATCAAATGATAATGCTTAGAGATAGCAGGGAAGAGCTCCATGGGGCCACTTTACCACCTCTGAGGCAGACACATTAAATAGTGGTTTACAAAGGAACCCTGAAAGTTTTCAGACTGATGGGGCTGAGGCTTGCCAGGGAATAGCAGCAAGACCAGCCCAAACCTGTTAATACTTGCCTCTCAAGGCTACAGGTGAGTCCAGGTGAATTACTGTCAAATGAAATAAACACTGAATGAAACAAAGGCCGAAGGAAGGTTCTAAGACCTTTTATTTGTTTTACAGGGAAATGGAGAAGTGTTTACAGAGAACGATGGAGATGAAAGGGCCCACAATTCACAACCAAAGCCCATGATGCCCTTAGCTGCTGCCTTGCGGACGCCGTAATTCACAGAGAACAAGAGAGTTTTGGGGAAAGTTCAAATTTCATGTACTCTTCTACTGGTCATCTTTTGGAGATTAAAGGTTCAAATAATCAACATGATATGTATTTGCTGTGATTTCTTAAACCTCAAAAAAATGGGTTCTGTTCTCTCAGCCAATATATTAGGGTTTTATCCTAATGGGTACTCAAGTTCACTGCTACTACTCTTAATCCCGTTACAGGTGGGAAATTTTGCATCCCTTAATTACAACTAGCATTTTAAGTTTTTCATAATTTGAAATACACGCAGCCCCAATCTTCCTCTCATAGGTGATCACAGGATTTGGGGGAAAAAAAAATCAAGAGACAAAAAGCTAGAGATTTCAGCTTTAAAATAATTTGTAAGGATATATTACAAGGCCTGCTAAGGGCTGAACACTTCCAACTCATAAAGCTTTGCTCACTCTTACCATTTTTGTGCATATTGGCTTCCTGTGTGGCTACAGAGGGCAGTCCCTCCATCATGGAGGTCCACTGTTTAAAGCGAGACTCTGTTCCAGCCTCCTTCCCACCAACCATGCCATAGTCCATGCCGCCAGAGCTGAAGCCTAAAACAGAGAATCACATTTTACATCTTTCTATAAATTTCTAGCGTCAGTAATCAAAAGATCTGAGGTAGAACCCATGAATAGCTTCCTTTGTCATTTAAAGACTAATTCACAAGAAGTTTCTTCACTGAGAAACAGATTTTGGGGTATCTGGGTGGCTCAGTCGGTTGAGCATCCAACTTGTCTCAGGTCATGATCGCACAGTTTGTAGCTTCAAGCCCCACATCAGGCTTTGCACGGATAGCACGGAACCTGCTTGGATTCTGCGTCTTCCCATCTCTCTCTGCCCTTCCCCCACTCTCTCTCTCTCTCTCATTAAAAAAAAGAAAAAGATTTTGATTCAAAATGTTCGTCATGGCTCTTGCTTACCAAAACAAAAACAAAAACAATAACTCTTTGTTAAGGTATGAAAATGTATATGAATGCCATCTAATTAAGGCCATCTCAGTGCACCTGTGTCTTTACTCATTTAGCTAACACTTGCACCAGGCAGATTCGTCAACTCAAACAGCAATCTCCACACAACAAACTAATATGGTATAACAATAGTCACGAGGTGTGGTGAGGCTGTCTGGGGGAGGAAAGGCTTTGCAGGAGGGACATTTGATTTAGGGCCTATGGCAGGTATAGAAGCCAAGGATACTAAGTACAAAGCTTTGATCGAACACAATCAGGTGACATCAGGGAATGATGAGGAGTTCGGTGTCACTCGGATGCTCAGTAGAGGAAGTGAGCAGGGTGGCAGGAGATGGGAGAAAAACGAGGAGTTGTATTGTGTAGGGTCTTTATGTATTAGGCCAAGGATTTGGGGACTTTTTTCTCCAAGACATAAAGAAGAAATATTTCTCCAAGAAATAAAGAAGGTTTTTAACAAGTGAGAGAAAGAGATAACTAAGTTTGTATTTTAGAAAAAGAACTGGCTGTGTAAGAATGGCGTACATGGAGGCCAAGGCAGAATCTAAGAGATCAATTTGAAAGAAATCTTTATGCAGTGACGAAGCCTCCACAGCTCAAACTGGCAGTGACAGGTTCAGAGTTTGCTTTGCCACGAAAGCCTCCGGTGTCAGGCTTCTGGTGGGAGTGTGGGTGGGTAACGTCTTCCCGCTGCACAGGGCTGGACAGCTGAGGTCCAGCATGAGAGGGTTGCTGATGGGGTCTCACGGGTCCCACCATCCACTGTGGGTCAGAACGTATTTCACATGAAAATAAAATAACACTGAAATAAACGAAACAGAGGAGGGGAAGAATGATGGGTAACCATAGTAAAAATGAGGATGGACCATAGGAGTGTGGAGAGCCACCCTGTGTAAAATGCTCGGGTGACCGCAGGAGTCAAAAGCTCATCTACTCTTAGTCAAGAAGATGTGTCATTCTGGCCAGGCCAGACTCCGTGCTATACCCACTTGACTCTGCAACCGCCTGATGGTGCCTCAATGGCTCTGAAGTTCCACTCATCCAAACCCCATGAGGGCCCTGGTCACGTTTTCCCCCTATGCTTCTCTGAGTTGTCAGAGACAGTTTTAAAAAGGCAGAGTGAATCAAGCTCAAATAATTCCGAGCACCTTGTCCTATGTACAAAGCGTTGCTATTAATATAAAGAACACTGTTCATTCCCATTGCTTGTAAGCGACTTTACTAGTCCGTGTGATTACGTGGAGGGTGCGGGCAGGGAGCAGAAGTTCCGGAGGAAGCTGGAAATATTCCAAATTAAATGTTTTTTTAAAAGAAGAGTGTATGGTATTTTCTTTTTTTCCTGCGTAGCTGGGATGAAACGAGACTGGAGGAACAAGGGTTTTTTTCTGACAGAAGCTTCAATGGCCTAAGTGGGCCGTTCCTTGGGCAAGTAACACTCTACCTTCGACAGAGGAAACCAGCCCAGGGTGCTTGGATTCCAGGCTAAGCAAAAGCTTGGTTCTAATCATGGAGGAAGAGCTTTTGAGAGTAACCCAGGATTCTGGTGAAGAACAGAAAGAAGGACATGAGGATTAATAAGAAGATAAAGAACTATTCCTTCCGTATTACTTTTCTTTCTTTTTTCTTTTTTAAAAATTTTAACGTTTATTTATTTTTGAGACAGAGAGAGACAGAGCATGAACACGGGAGGGGCAGAGAGAGAGGGAGACACAGAATCCGAAACAGGCTCCAGGCTCTGAGCGGTCAGCACAGAGCCCGACGCGGGGCTTGAACTCATGGACTGTGAGATCATGACCTGAGCTGAAGTCGGATGCTTAACCGACCGAGCCACCCAGGCGCCCCTCCGTATTACTTTTCTTTAAAGTTGCTCTGAAATTTCTTTAGAGCTCACAGTGAATAACGTTAATTTCAACTGCTTAGAGTTCCTTTGTGACGCACAAAGTGTAGAAAATTAGTAGGAGTTCTCCACCTTAGGAAGAGGGGATAGTTTGAGCAGTTCCATCCGAACCTCAAGTAAAGTGGGCATCTTCCTCATTAGAACCTTGGGGATCAAACACCACGAAAACATGGCAGCATGACAACTGAATCACAAAGTTTGGTAAGCAAACACACAGAGGGGTGTGAAGAGAACAGGAGCTAAAACTGCCTTGAGTGAGAAGTTCATTCTCCAACCCCAAAACCAGGAGAGGAAGAGTCAACGTAAGGTTGTACGTAATTCTGTGTCTGCCTTCCATGTCCTGTAGTAACTGGCATGACTTGTAACCTCTAAGCTATTTGTTTTTTTAAATTTTTAAAAAATGTTTATTTATTTTTGAGAGAGAGAGAGAGAGAGAGAGAGGGAGAGAGGGAGAGAGAGAGAGAGAACGAGCACGAGCGGGGGAGGAGCAGAGAGAGAGGGAGACACAGAATCCGAAGCAGGTTCCAGGCTCCGAGCTGTCAGCACAGAGCCTGACGCGGGGCTCGAACTCACACACTGCGAGATCATGACCTGAGCCGAAGTCGGAAGCTCGACCGACTGAGCCACCCAGGCACCCCCCTAAGCTATTTGTAAGCCCAGACTTTTTGTACTTGCTGTTTCATCAAAACCAAACCTCCTCAGTCCACCAAGTTGCCTCCCTGTAATTCTCCAGCTCACCAACAGAGCCCGAACTCAAATCAAACAGTCTTTTAATTCAGTTCCACGCACGCTTACAGAAAGCCTCATTTGTGCCAGGCTTTGGTAGGAGCAAAGGCATTAACAGAAGTAAGACATGCCCCTTGCTCTCCCAAGGGACTCATCTCCCTAGTACATCATCCCTTTCGCCTATCTTATCATTCCTACAAATCCAACCCTTGGCCTACCTTATCTGTCTTTGCCAGAATTGCTTTCTTTGCCACATACTCTAATTCCTGGTCTATATTCATCATTACCACATGGCTCAGTGTCACCTTGAGGAAATTCTCTCAAGGTAACTTGTCCTTACCCAATCACGCCTTCATGCTCTTTGTCTGTATTAGTTCGTTTCTGCTACTTCTTTTATTATAGATTAGAAAACAAACTAGTGCTTTTATAATAATTAAAATAAAAATAAACTATAAAAGAATGTACCCAGAGTTGTCCATTTAACACATTCTCTTTTTAAATGTTTATTTATTTTTGAGAGAGAGAGAGAGAGAGAGAGAGAGTGAGAGTGAGAGAGCACGTGAGCAGGGGAATGGCAGAGAAAGAGGGAGACAAAGGATCCATAGCATGCTCTTTACTGTTAGTGAGGAGCCCGAGGCAGGGCTCGAACTCATGAACTTGAGATCATGACCTGAGCCAAAACCAGACGCTTAACCGACTGAGCCACCCAGGTACTCCGAGATTTTTTTATTTGTAAGTGATCCCTACACCCAACATAGAGCTTGAATGTGTAACTCTGAGATGATGATCTACCGACTGAGCCAGCCAGGCACCCCCAAATTTTGATAAATTTTAAACATGAAAAGTTAAATTTTATTGGAAGTACATTTTCTAATAAGACAAGGGACTTTATTTCTCAATTGGTTCAGATACCTATGAATGAGTAGGTATGAGACTGCATTCATGCTCTTCCTATCTAAAACATTCCTACAGACGAAAAGCACCAAAAAATCTTATGTAAGTAATTAGATGAGAAAGAAGGAGTCTTGTTACATCACTTACTTCTTTGAATTCCTGTGGAGGGGATATTCCCTTCCCTCAGCTCAATACATGGATGCTACAACAACTTTAGATAAGTCATTATCCCCAGACAATTTGGTTAAGTATGTTTTCAATTCTGCTAAAAGCAGAGAATTAGAAACCATCTATTTAAAAAAAAAACCAATTAGTTAAGGGTCAGTGAAGCAGTTATTAAAGTCATTCAACTTTTTAATTTTGGGAAAATATACCAAAAGTGGCTTTATTAGGACTAAGAGACTTTTATTCTTTTTTTTTTTAAATGTGTTTATTTTTGAGAGAAAGAGTGCAAGTTATCGAGGGGCAGAGAGAGAGGGAGAGAGAGAAAGAGAATCCCATGAGGGGCAGAGAGAGAGGGGGGCACTATCATCGCGGAGCCTAATGTGGGGCTTGAACTCCTGAAAGGTGAGATCATGCCCTGAGCCGGTGTCAGATGCTTAACTGACTGAGCCATCGAGGTACCCCGCTTTTAATTATTCTTCCTGCTTTTTAGCCTGCAGGTGTGTTTTTTAGTTTAATACTCGGCAGTATTGAGCTGCAAATTGAACTAGGCAAATTGAAATATTACTCATTTCATTACATCTTTGTTACCTAATTTTCGAAAAAAATTTTAACCTCTCTGTATGCTTTAAATATATTTTCATCAAAATCTTAGTTATAAATTTAGTTTATTCAAGCCAGGCATTCAAGGTGGATTTACTTTCAGTCCCAAAATGTATTTTTCAATTAAAATAAAATGTCATGGGGCGCCTGGGTGGCGCAGTCGGTTAAGCGTCCGACTTCAGCCAGGTCACGATCTCACGGTCCGTGAGTTCGAGCCCCGTGTCGGGCTCTGGGCTGATGGCTCAGAGCCTGGAGCCTGTTTCCGATTCTGTGTCTCCCTCTCTCTCTGCCCCTCCCCCGTTCATGCTCTGTCTCTCTCTGTCCCAAAAATAAATAAACGTTGGAAAAAAAAATAAAATAAAAAAAAATGTCATAATATGAATTTAGGAACTTTTTTTAAGGTTTGTTTATTTATTCTGACAGAGTGAGAACATGTGTGTGAATGGGGGAAGGGTAGAGAGAATGGGAGAGAGAGAGAGAGAAAATCCCAAGCACTTGGGGCTTGGCCCCACAAACCATGAGATCATGACCTGAGCCAAAATCAAGATCTGGATGCTCAACTGAACCACCCAGGTGCCCCTGAATTAAGGAAATTTTTAACTGTGGAAAAAACTGCAAAATGCATCTTAGAAGGCAGATTGTAACTGGCCAGATCATAGTTAACATGATAAAGACCTAATAAAAATTATCCCTTGTTAAATAAGTTATCAAATGTAATAAACTAGTAAGTCAATGTTTTTTTTCTCCTTTGAACGACAGAGAGAGATAGAACACAAGCAGAGGAGGGGCAGAGAGAGAGGGAGACACGGAATCCGAAGCAGGTTCTAGGCTCCGAGCTGTCAGCACGGAGCCTGACACGGGGCTCGAACCCACGAACCGTGAGATATGACCTGAGTTGAAGTTGGACACTTAACCGACTGAGCCAGGCGTCCCTCTCCTTACTTTAGATTCTAATGCATAGTTACATTTATAAGTTACTTTAAAACAGGAGTATGATAAAAAACATGACATTTCTTCAGTAAGTGTATGTACGTGTATACTGAACTCTGGTCCTTCAGTCATCAGGAAGTTATGCCTCCAGTACAATAATCACAAATAACACCATTAAGCTAATAAGACATCATGATATTTTCTATATATTTAAAGAAATGAGAAGATATGCTGCTAAAAACTAAAAGATTCTCAGCTAACATATAATGTTACTACCCCCACCCCCAATAATTTTACTTCTTAATAAAAGACAGAAAATATTAAAGATGTTGTAAGAACTGTCACTGGAACATCGTGATGTTAGGTTTTTAACAACTGACTGATTAATGAATACCCAGGCTAAAGGCAAGCACGTAAAAGGTTTATTCACAGGTTTTACCTGATAAATGGTGAAAAACATGTATTTAAGAGAGTCAGTGTCATTAACCTATGTTGCTCAAGCTGTTCAAAGGTACTTTTCTTTCCAGTTAAGACATGCTGTAGGGAACAAGTACCGAGAAGAGCCATGCACATTTACACGCGTGAAAAAGCTGTCTGGGGCTTCCAGATGTTCACTTTGCTTTGTACCACTGGGCTCTACTTTGAGAACCACGTACTCTTTGACAAAAGGGGATGGAAGAAACAAAGTTGCCCTGCCTTATTATCATATACAGTGTCTAAATTCACAACTAGACGCACACCAAAACACCCAGGTTCTTATGTCAAGCTTTCACTTTAACAGAAAACAAGATGAAGAAGGTGAAGACTGGGAGCGCCTGGGTGGCGCAGTCGGTTAAGCGTCCGACTTCAGCCAGGTCACGATCTCGCGGTCCGGGAGTTCGAGCCCCGCGTCAGGCTCTGGGCTGATGGCTCGGAGCCTGGAGCCTGTTTCTGATTCTGTGTCTCCCTCTCTCTCTGCCCCTCCCCCGTTCATGCTCTGTCTCTCTCTGTCCCAAAAATAAATAAAAAAAAAAAAGTTGAAAAAATTAAAAAAAAAAAAAAAAAAAGGTGAAGACTGGAAACACAGAGTTAATGACACCTTCATTAGTCATTATAGGAGGCTTTCCCCTTGCTTGGCACCCTGGATTTCTACATCCCAGATGGGCATGACTTAGTAAGATAGGAGATGGTGTAGAGTTCTGTCTTCTCTCATGTCAAGTGACGGTACAGGCGTTAGTCATGTATGTATGTATGGTTTTTTTTTTTTATTTTTAAAAATGTTTATTTGTTTATTTATTTATTTTTTATATTTTTATTTATTTTTGAGACAGAGAGACAGAGCATGAGCAGGGGAGGGGCAGAGAGAGAGGGAGACAGAGAATCTGAAGCAGGCTCCAGGCTCCGAACTGTCAGCACAGAGCCCGACACGGGGCTCGAACCCACGGACCGTGAGATCATGACCTGAGCTGAAGTCGGACGCTTAACCGACTGAGCCACCCAGGTGCCCCATGGTTATTTATTTTTGAGAGAGAGAGAGAGAATGGAGGAGGGGCAGACCAGAAGGAGACACAGAATCTGAAGCAGAGCCCAGGCTCTGACAGAGCTGCCAACACAGAGCCCAATGTGGGGCTCAAACTCACGAGCAGTGAGATCATGACCTGAGCCAAAGTCAGAAGCTTAACCCACTGAGTCACCTAGGCGCCCCAAGAAAGATTATTTGAATTTAAGTCATAAAAAAATGAATTTATATCATTTTATTATTATTATTTTTAAAAAATGTTTATTTATTTTGAGAGAGAGAGGGTGAAGGACAGAGAGGGAGAGGGAGAGGGAGAGGGAAAAATCATCCCAGGCAGGCTCCACGCTGACAGCACAGAGCCCAGCATGGAGCTTGATCACACAAACCGAGAGATCATGACCTGGTGGAAGCTGGAAATTAATTCCGTTAAAACTATCCAAGACCAAGGAGCGCCCGGGTGGCTCAGTTGGTTGAACAGCTGACTCTTGATTTGGGCTCAGGTCATGATCTCATGGTTCATGGCTTTGAGTCCCACGTTAGGCTCTGAGCTGACGGCATGGAGCACGCTTGGGATTCTCCCTCTCCCGCTCTCCATCTGCCCCTCCCCTGCTCACGTGTGCATGTGTGTTCGCTCTCAAAATAAATAAACACTTAAAACCCCAAACCACACAACTGGAATCCAGGATCAAGATATCCTTTAAGTCTTTGCTATTCTCTGAATGAGGACACCCCAGCAGGAAGTGAGCCCCCACCTCAGTGGGCATGTCACAGAGGTAGAGCAGAGAGCAGGGCCATGTGTCAGGGTCTCTTTGTCTCCTAGGAGCACGGATTTCAGGTCTCCCCAACTTTTATTTCTGAGTTTGCACAGAACAGTACCTTCTTTATCAAAATAAAATGTAAACTGTGCCATTCTGAGAAGAAACCTGCTGTGGTGTGTGGTACCTTTTTAATTTTTAAATTTTATTTTTAAGTCACTGTTGCCTCACTGATTGGATTCTGTTTACAACATGTTCCCCGGTTCTGAAAGAGCTATGATTTGCCTGCCAACAAATTCTTGATGAATGTCAAAGGTATAACCTTACTTGTGCTAATTCTATTTAAATCGGATGAAATACTAATATCAGAAGAATTTTATCAGTTCGCCTTATAAGTTTAATTTTAGCTCCCCAGTTTTTCACGAGAAGGAAATTTTATCAGTAGAGCTAAACACCTCAACTCGGACGTATTTTAACAGGTTATAACTTCAGACACATGCATCACGCACAGCACGTACACACCCTTTAACTAGCTTTTAAAACTTCCTGGTGGTGGAACACTGGACTGCCATTCATAAATAGTGAGAGACCACTTTGGACCCAGAGAAGGTGGAGCCTAGCTCTACGATCTACTAATTGTGTGGTGAGCTCTAGGACACCGTTGAAACTCTAGGATATCATCTGTCAGGCAGGGATATGAATATTTATCTGTCTTGTGTGCTTGCTGTGAAAACAGAGGGTAAGGCAGGACCAAACCCTACCAGAGGCTCAGAACATGACTGGAAGATTTTTTTTTTTTTTAAGGTGTTTTTCATTACTGAACAACTTACCAGAACCATATCCAGGTATTGGCCCTTTGGTTTGAAGGTCTGGGAGCCCCACATTCAGAGCGTTGGGTACCATGTTGTCCAGATGCGGCTTGGGCCCAACGGGATGAGAGGGCGAGTGCTTCATGCCGGGCTGCCTCTGCTGCTGCTGCTGCTGCTGCTGCTGCTGTTGCTGCTGGAGAGCGCTCACCATTCGAGCCAGCTGGAGGCCAGGAGGCCAGAGCGAGGGGGAAGCCGAGGGAAAATGGACACATGATAAGCCAACACCCTGAGCCTCCTAGGAAAAGACTGCGTAGGAGTCACGTTCTGCTGTCGGAGGTTAAGCAGAGATGCAGCCCTCACACAGAGCACCAGAGGGACCCTTCCAATCCCACGTACCTGCTGCTCTTGCTGCTGGCGCACAGCTTGAGAAAGCTTCCTCTGGTTCTGTAGCAACTGCTGTTGTTGCTGCTGCTGCAGGAGAAGCTGACATGCCTACAAAACAGGGAAGGAGAGAGCGGAGCAAAGCTTCCTAAGCCGGATGTACTGACACACTCGAGGGGGTTGTGCATCTAAGGGCAGGTTGTGGAATCCAGTGGCCAGGAGGGAAGTACCACCAAGTTCCTGGTCTACTGGTCACATTTACCTCCAACTGAGCAGATACATTAATCCTTAAGCACGCATAAAATGAAGCAAATCCAAATTAAAGGAAAAAAACCCTAAATAATCTTTTTTTCAGCTATTGGGGGAAAATCTGCTACTCACCAACTGAAACTGGGGAATTTGTGGAAGCTGGCTCAGCATGGCAATTTGTTGAGGAGATAACTGGGGCCCCACATTGAAAAGACCTGGATTCAGGCCACTGTTGGGAAACTGCTTGAGCATTGAGGCAGAAACCTAACAAGAAAAAAGAGGACTCTTTCAGAACTTACTAAAATAAAACTTTTTTTTTTCTGTAAAAAGAATCTTTTTTTTTTTTTATTTTTTTAAATTTTTTTTCAACGTTTATTTATTTTTGGGACAGAGAGAGACAGAACATGAACGGGGGAGGGGCAGAGAGAGAGGGAGACACAGAATCGGAAACAGGCTCCAGGCTCCGAGCCATCAGCCCAGAGCCTGACGCGGGGCTCGAACTCCCGGACCGCGAGATCGTGACCTGGCTGAAGTCGGACGCTCAACCGACTGCGCCACCCAGGTGCCCCTGTAAAAAGAATCTTAATAGGTCTAAAGCAAGTGTCGATTGCTTTCCTTGAAAAATATCTGTAAAAAATACTAAATCATCCGGAGAAATACACCAAAATGTTAGTGATGGTTACGACTGAGCAGTGAGATTATAAGGGCTTTTAGGGGCACCTCACTGGCTCAGTTGACAGAGCGTGTGACTCTTGATTTTGTAAGTTCGAGCCCTGCACTGGGTGTAGCGATTACTTAAAAATAAAATCTTTTTTTTTTTTTTTTTCAACGTTTATTTATTTTTGGGACTGAGAGAGCATGAACGGGGGAGGGGCAGAGAGAGAGGGAGACACAGAATCGGAAACAGGCTCCAGGCTCTGAGCCATCAGCCCAGAGCCCGACGCGGGGCTCGAACTCATGGACCGCGAGATTGTGACCTGGCTGAAGTCGGACGCTCAACCGACTGCGCCACCCAGGCGCCCCAAAAATAAAATCTTAAAAAAAAAAAAAAAAAAAGCTTTTAAATTCTTTACAATAAAAATTATGAATTCATAATCAGGAAGGCTTCTGAGAGACAAAAAAAGTATTTTTCTTTTAATTTTTTAATGTTTTATTTATATTTGAGAAAGAGACAGAGAAAGACAGAGACAGAGACAGAGACACAAAGAGAGAGAGAGAGAGAGAGACAGAGCACGAGTGGGGCAGGGGCAGAGAAAGAGAGGGAGACACAGAATCCAAAGCAGGCTCCAGGCTCTGAGCTGTGAGCACAGAGCCTGATGCGGGGCTCGAACCCACAAACCATAGGATCATGACCTGAACCAAAGTCAGATGTTCAACCGACCGAGCAACCCACGTGCCCCCGAGACAAAAAAGTTTTAATAACAATGTGACTTTTGCTTGAGAAATTGTTCCTGTAAATGGACCGTAAAACAAAATAGATCAAACTTCATAAAGCTACTAAATAAGGTAAAACAAGGTATAAAAACATAAGCCTAAAACAAGGTATTTTTGTTATACAAATAAGAAAAATATGTTGACCTGTAAGTAAGAGACACTGGAGTTTCAATTCATGACTTCTCACACCACACACTCAGAGTCACAGAGCAAGAGGGCCTAGAAGGTCAAATGACCCAACTGGCTCCTTCTCCACGGTTTTTAGGAGTGAGTTGGGCTGGGCTACAGGAACCTCCAGACAGAGAAAAGCCTCCCTCCTGTCTTTGGACTGCTCGTCTAAGATGTTTTTACGGGGCTGAAATGAGTTCCTTGCACTTTCGTCCGCTGAGCCGACTGAATCAGCTGGTTCCGTGGGTGGCAAGCAGCACACTGGTCAAGAGTCTGCTTTGAGAGGCAGACTGTACGGGCTGTCATTTTGGAGCTGTGTGACGCAGGGCAAGTTACTTACTGAGCCTTTCTGAGCCTTGTTTCCCCTCCAAAACTGAACAACAATAATTTTAGTGACAGAGGATTTTATGAGTTAATCCACATCAAAGGCTTAGAAATGCACTCTGTTATATGCACAGGGATGGTTCCTCAAGTGTCTAAAGACAATTACAGTTTCTTGTATCTCATCTTCAGGCTAAACATGCTCACTTCTTTCACGCGTATCTCATCCAATTTCTCAATGCAAAGCCCACAACAGAAAGCCATTTTCTAGAGTAGCTGAGGACTGAGTAGACCTGGCCATCATTAACCATTCTGTTGAAAGCCAGGCTTTCTATTAACAATGCCTGAGATCTCAGTTTCTCTGATGATCACAGCCTAACTCCCAACTCACATATTAAGCTTACTTCAATTAAAATCTATAATATTTTAAAATAGGTGTTGCTCTCCTATGGAATATTTAAGCAGCTGGGTTGAACTGTATTAATATATGCTTTGATCTTAGGACCTTATCTTTATGCGCATAGCACATAGATGTTTGATAAATATCTATTAAATAGGTGAATATTATATTTCATTTAATTAACTAATTTTTTAAATGTTTATTTTTAAATTTATTTTGAGAGAGAGAGTATGAGAGGGGGAGAGGGGCAGGTGGAGAGAGAGAGAGAATCCCAAGCAGGCCCCATGCTGTCAGTGCAGAGCCCATGAACCGTGAGATCATGACCTGAGCTGAAATCAAGAATCAGACGCTTAACCGACTGAGCCACCCAGGCACCCCACTAATTAATTTTTTAAAGATTTAACTTCTTAAAAAGTAATCTTTACACCCAATGTGGGGCTCGAACTCACAACCCAGAGACCAAGAGTTGCATGCTCCACTGACTGAGCCTGTCGGGTGCCCCGTGAATAGTATATTTTAGTAACAGTCACACCATCAAATTCTTTTCTACCCTATTATTCCACTTATGTTCGGTTTGTGTTTCCCTATCTGGTCACTGATGGGAATGCTGAACTTGATAGAGCGGAGGATAATCTAGTAGCCTGTCCCTAAAAACTTCTTTCCAATCTGAGGGTGATCCAGCTGGGAAGAGTCAATCATTTACTAATTCACACAAGTGTTTTAGCATTTACTTTATATTTTTTCATCTTGTCTAAAACAAAGAGACAGCTTGTCAAATGGTTTGTCAAAATAGAGATTTCAACAATGTCATTCTTATCAAACAATATTTAAAACTAATCAATAAAATGAATTAAGACTTGTTAGCAAATTTATGATTCTTGATTTCCTATCATAGGTGCTCAAAAAGCCATCTTTTTGATAATCTAGTGTAGATTACCAAAATCTAATCTAGATTATTATTGCCTAGAATTGGCACCAGTTCATCAGTATTTAAACCACTTCCTTTACTGTTTCAAAAGTTGTTTAAAAAACTTCCCCATTCTCTTCACTTCCTTGGAGGGGAGGGGTGCCTCTTTCCTATTTCTACTCTGAAGCTCCGCACAGAGGGACATCTACCTTGTTCTCTGGGCCTCCTGCCCTTTTTTCCTGGCAGCAAACCTATAGGGAGGGTTGTCCCGTTCCAATTACTACTGGCTAAGTTTGTAATTCAGTATTAGGAAGCTCACATTCTCCAGGATCTGCATTCTCAGTGGTAAAGGGGATATTTTGGCCCCACATGCCTTCCTCTTGTCTTAAAAATTCAGTATTTGTGCAAGAAAGAAGAGCAGTCATTATTAAATTCCCCTTGAAGATCCCCAGCATTCCTCAAATATCACAGAAGGGCTCTGCGATTCCTTTCACAAACTGTTTCTCTGTTGTAGGATTTAATTTGTCTCAACCCTTTTGGTTGAACGACTTTATCCTCAACAGAGACGACAAAAGCGGTGCCAATTTTACTCTCACTTAATTTAACTTAATTTTCATTTAATCATTTAAAACATACACAAGTAGTCCAAAGCAGTGACTCTTTTTCCAGTCACTGATTTGCACCAAACCGAATTCTGAAGACTCTTTCAATCTGCCTATTGTTTTGCAAGCCTCCACTTATTTTACGTTCTAATCCCCCAGCACAACTCTTACACATATCCATCCCTGCTTGCTACCCTTACTTTCCAGCTTTTGAAAATACCCCTTTAAAACCTGAGTCATCAGAAAGCTTTCATCAGAAGACCCACTGGCTGTTCCCACTGTATCTTTCTTTAGCATAACAGAGTTCAATGAATGCTTGTGAGTCACCGTCTCTGCCACATTCTCAAGAATACCTGCCTACCTTTCCTTTGATGCTTTCTAGTCTAGAAACAAGTTCAAGCTCCTGTCCGGGGCTCACCAACTCACTTTCTTCCAAGATCTCAGCCACTTTTCACCTAACCCATTAACACTATCATTTTGGGAAGTATTTTGGGTAAAAGTCACGGTTCTCCTAGCTGTTCCTCTATTCTCTAAGAGATGCTGAGTGTTGCCAACCAATGAGAACATTTGTTTGATTTTCTTTTTTAACGGTTGGACCTCTAGCAAATGTGAGCTCAGGGTGAGCACAGCACTGTACATTGTGCCTCTGCACCAGTGTTTTTTTTTTTTTTTTTAAACATTTATTTATTATTGAGAGACGGCAACATGAGCATGGCAGGGGCAGGGAGAGGGGAGACACAGAATCGGAAGCAGGCTCCTGGCTCTGAGCTGTCAGCACAGAGCC